GGCTGATGATTGTCCTCTATTGGGGGGATTATCGCAGGATTACTCTCCTTCGGTCAGTTTAAGTCTAAGTTACGGGTGTCTTTTGCTACCCCAGTAGTTCAAATTTCTCTCAGAACTTTACTGGCCTTTTCTTCTTGCTTTTCCCAGTCATTATATCTTATTTTTGAGCCATGAAGATTTAAAACTAATACCGCTAACTCGTTAACTGGACAACCTATTTTATGGAATGGTCCGAGAACAGTCTCTACGGAGTATATTTCGCCATTGTTTAAATAACTTTCTCGCGAGAACCCTGCATGAATTCTTCCTTCTTTATCTCGTTCTCAAAAATCCCCAAAACCTTCGCCATCAAATCCTACATAATTGCTAAACTTTTCTTCATTTGCAATGTGTTCAGGAGGAACAACCCCTTTATTTTTAGCATGCCAACTTTTAAATTCGCTAAAAAACTCCCCCCAATTATTACAAATAATTTCTTTAGTTCCGAATTTGTCGTATTTAATTTTCATTATGTATAAGTATAAAAGATTTTATATAAATTCCCTAATTTTTTGGTATTCATAAAATTTCTTTTCACTTTCTTTCCCGCATGGATTAAAATAGGAGAAAAGAAATTAACTAATAATTTCAGTAAGAACTAGAATTATTAGGGGAATAATTAAATTCCCCCTTAATGTAAAAGAAAAGAAAGTAATATGATAAGCCTTTAATGTTTGTTGCTTAATTGCTTACAGTTATCGAGGTTTGGATTGTAACTTGCTTTTTACGAATACTATACTACTAATTGCTAAGGTGCTAACACCAGCAATAGCTGTAATAATTCCAACCTTTCCGCGGTTATCCTTATTATCTAAACTAGGATTTTGATAATTACTAAGAAGTTGTTCGGACTTTTGTAATTTATTTCTTAATTCTTGGGTGCTTACCTTATAACTCAGTTTTTGAGAACTACTACTTGAATCCGCTTCAACCTGCCTCCTAATTTCTAACTCTGCTTCTACTCGCCTTTTTAAATCTTCCAATTGTTCCCTATCTGCTTTTTCGATTTCATCATCAGATAGCAGTCGTTTAAAATCTGTTTCGGATGAAGGACTTTCTGGACTAGACTGGTCGATATCCATAGGAGAAACCTGCTGATATTCAACAAAGTTAACTTGACCTCCATCAGTAAGTCGCCGACTACTGATATTTTTATCAAATTTTATAGTTAACTTTTCCTCAAACTCATTTTTTTCAGTTCGTCACTTAGAAGAACGGATAATTACTTCTTCTTGATTTGTCAAGTTTTCTGAAACTTCCTCCTGGCTTCCCTCATAATCTTCCTTCACCGTAGGAACAACCGAGTCATCCTCTCGCTCATTTAAAACCTCACTGTCTCAATTTTCTCTAACTTCAATACCGTTTTGTCTGTCCTTGACTATTTTTCTTTCCCACAATACTTTTCCTTTCTCTGAACTGCTAGCAGGTCTTTCAATCAAAGAAAAACTCGCCACAGAAATTTCTCTGTTTTGGCTTAAATCAATACCCAAGTCTAGACCGCTTACTTCGGAGGGAAAAACACTCCGCTCCCCTTGTTGGAAGCTCTCAGTAGGAACAACATCTCTCCCAACTTCAAGAGAAACTATTTTCTTGTCTTTATATTTTTTTACCATAATCCTTTAACATCTTCTTCCTACAATAGATTGAGTAACGGTAAAACCTTTTTCGGTTTTAACCTCTATTTTATACTCATACTCATTTTTCCCGCCACTTCGTTCTATCATTGTATCAAGGCTATTTTGTATTGTACTTATCTGCGAACCACTTAAAACAGGGACATTATAAGTAGAGGGTCTAGTTAATTCTCCAGTATTAAAAAACCTATTACACTTACTACAACGCTCACGGCATTCATTAGCACAACGTTCTCCGCATGCATCATACCAACTATCCTGTCAACTATTACAATTTACACAAAAACTCTTTGGCATATCTATTTACTACTTCCTTTGCTGTTTTTAGCCTCACAGCAAGGCGATTTTTTATTGATTTTTACCATATTTTTCTTTCTTTTATTTATGTTTAAATTATTATTTAATGTGCTAATTTTTTTAAAAACAGTTTGCTTCTGTTTACCAGTTGCTTTTACTTTAATATTCTAATGGTGGAACTGGTTAAGAAATCCAAAGGAATATTAAGAAATTAATCCTTAATAAACCTAATTAGAACATTACTTTGCCCTATTTTACTTCCGGTAAAGTCCGCTACTCATTTAAGCTGCTAGCCCGCTTAACTTTCCAGCGAAAGTGTGAAGTATTTTTTTAATTTTCCAATCAATCAGCATTTAAGCAATTTATATTTAAGAAGTGATTGGTTGATTAATTAAGATAATCGGGTATTATTCTCCTTAAATATCTTTCTCGGTTTCTCCATATAGTTTTTTTCTTATCGGGAGATTTCTTCACTTCTTCTCCCAAATATATTTTATATTTAATGGCAACACAACTACCGGTTTTAAATCAGTAGTAAAATCACCTCAAAAACTACTGAATGACTTAGTTGAAATTAAGAAAGTAAATAAAGCAGATTTAAAGCACTTTTTAACTTTAGATCACACTTCTTTTACCGTGTTATCAGTCTCTACTAAACATATTGAAGCTACGGATCGGATCTCAGTAACCTTATCTAAAAATAGTGCTCGTTCTTTTTATTTAGG